CATGGCTTGGTAGGTATGGCTTGGTGGGCATGGCAGGGGAGGATACTGTAAAAACCCCATTCCCTCCCCACTCCGGGGGAAGGTTACTGCAAAATCCCAATTTCCTCCTTCCTTCCTTCATCAGCTGGGACTCAGGAGGCAGAGAATAGATGGGAGCGGGACCAGTCAGAGGTAGTATTTACCGGTTCTCTGAACTACTCAATATTTCTGCAATCGAATCTCCAGTACTGGTCAGAACCTGTTGAATACCACCTCAAGTTCTGCAGTGTACATTAAGCCAAAGAAAAATAAATCTCATTAATGTTTAATGCAACATGTGAACTCTGCCAATATCTATGTATAATCTATATGTAAGGCAAATACACACACACATACACATGGAATTATATGGATATATAGATATTGATTTAGAGATAGCTAGATAGCTAGACAGACAGACAGATAAACATATCCTTATTGACATTCTGATGTTGGCTTATAACCTCCCTTCAACCTGGCCAACGCTTCACAAAACTCTTCTCTTGATGTAAAAATAGACACTGCTTAATCTTAACTACACTCTAAATCAGCATTTTTCAACCTAGACAACTTTAGTTTGGCATTGCATAGCTGGCTAGGAAATTCTGGGAGTTGATGTTCAAGCATCTTGGAAAATTGCCAAGATTGAGAACTACTGGTTTAAAACCCTATGTTGTCGTCCCCCCCCCAATACATACAAATCAAATCACTTTTAGGAGATTGCTGTTTTCAGAAATGAATTTCTCTCTTCCCAGTCCTTCTACTCAATAAAATGACTCCATTATTTTGGGAACTGGTAAAAGGAAGGTATGGTTGGCATAGCATAGCTGGCTGGGGAATTCTGGGAACTGAAGTTCACAGTTTTTCAAATTGCCAAGGTTGAGATGTCCTGGTTTAAACCCTATCCCATTTTTTATTTTTTTTTGCATAGAAATCAAATCAATCTTTGGAGATTTTTACTCCTAGGAATGACTTTCTCTTTTTTTGCTCCTTCCATTATTTTGCGAAGTGGTAAAAGGAAGGTATGGTTGAGAGAGTCTGTCTGAATTATTGACAGTGCCAGGGATTCATTAACTAGATTTCCAATTAGAATCCATAATATTTCATTGACATGTAAGAGACAGTGGCACGGGGGGGGGGATGTATCGTAATTGAAGATAACAGCATTCTACATTCTTTAGGATGAACACTTGGCTAATAAATGTGATTCATGTTATCAAACAGTAAAATCCGAAAGATCAATGACGGAGCCAAAAAAGGGAAATGGTCCATCATTTTTATGCTCGCAGCCGAGCTATGAATTATCTTTACTAGTGCAAATGTGTAATTTGCAAAAACGATGAGCTTTGCATAGGCAAAGAAAGATGAGTTTATGCCAAGTTAAATTATATCATATGTTCTAATATAATGTGGCATAATTGCAGTGGAGTTCAATGGTACAGCTGTATTCGTGTCAGCCAGGCCATCATAAATTCCACACATTTTACAAGGATGACCTCAAATCCATATTGACTGAAAGGGGGTGCAATTTAGACATTGTCTCTAGATATATCTTCTAGAAATGACAGCGTTCCAGAATGTAGAGCTGTAACAGGTCATGACGTACCAAGCAGCTCTGAAAAAGTCGAAGTTAATGTGCTTGGAAACTCGGGTTTTTTAACAGTTTAATTCCCACCTATGTTTCCACATTTGGGGGGGGGGGAGGGCTAGCCTTCTCTCATTTCAATACAAAATGCTCCCCAAATAAGAAAGACATCCTATGAGTGAGGAGGAAGAACAGTCGGGGCCTGTTCCAGATGTGCATATGTGCGGAGCTGTTAGGAGAGGAGAACAACTGAGGACAAGGAGTCGAATCGGGAAGCAAGGCAGATGTGGACGCTGAGTTGGCAGGGGAATACATCGAAGGAAAGGAGAATGGTGGTCGTAGGAGGCAACAGTTCGGATTTCTGAAGATTTGGCTCATTGTGTTTCATGTAACAGAGACTGCTTGCCAGAACTTAATTTGCAGCCTTTTGGCCCGGCTAAGGAACTGATAAGGTCCATTACTGCAGTTAATTCTTATATACTGTACACCAGGGGTGTCAAACTGGATTTGAGGGCCAGATCAGCATTGTAGTTCTCCTCTGCAGGCCAGCAGGAGCAGGGGGGAGGTGACAGGATGGATGCCTTCTGTGGCATGGCCAAAACAGGGTGGATGGAGGCACCTGGCCCCCTCTGACCCGTTTTCTGCCTGAACAGCCTCCTGCAGCACTTTATCAGCTAAAACGGGGTGCAGAGGGGGCAGAGTGCTGCTGGAGGCCATGGAGAGTGAAAACGAGGCATGGGGGTGTGTGGATTTAAGTACCCTGAGGACT